TCAGTGCGAAGTCGCTCTTCGACAGCTTCACGTAGATCTTATTTTCCCGCAGGATCTCGAACACCTTCCGCAGATGCTCCACGTGCTCCTTCATGTTCTTGGAGTAGATGAGGATATCGTCCAGGTATACTACTACGCACTCGTCCAGCAGGGGTCGAAGGATGTGGTTCATCTCCGCCTGGAACGTCGCTGGTGCGTTGCAGAGTCCGAACGGCATCACCAAGTATTTGTAGGAGCCGTATCTCGTACGGAACGCCATCTTGTGGATCGAGTTGTCCGCCATCTTGATCTGCCAGTAACCCGACCGTAGGTCCAGCTTCGAGAAAACCGTTGCACCACGCAGTTGGTCCAGTAAGTCGTCGATGCGCGGTATGGGGTATTTGTTTTTAACTGTCTGTTTGTTCAGTGCGCGGTAGTCGATGCACATCCGTAAACTGCCGTCTGGTTTTGGTGTGAAGAGAACTGGTGCACCGTAGGGAGAGGTGGATGGTCGGATCAGTTGTCTGTCCAGTAGATACTTGATATGTTTTTTCATGTCTGTCAGTTCGGTCGGACTCAGTCTGTAAGGTGCACGTGAGACGGGTTTCGCACCTAGTTCCTCCACGATCTCGTGCTCGTGGGTGCGTGCAGGAGGTACGCATACAGGTAGGTCGTCGGGCATTATATCTTTGTACTGCTCCAAGACCTCTTTTACTGCTGCGGGTAGCTCGAAACCCGGCTTCTCCTCTTCTGCTGCTGTCATGACTAGTGCTAGATAACCCGTGTTACTCTCGTTCACCGTCTGTTCGAACCGTGCCAGTGTCGTTTCAGGAATATCCCCTGTATCCGTCCAGCTTCGTAGTGCTATCCGCTTCCCGTTGTTGTAGATGCACACCTTGCTGTTGACCCAATCGATCTCGGGGTTGAACCGCTTCAGGAAATCTCGCCCCAAGATAAAATCTAACCCTTTGATGTTGGTGACTGGTAGCTTCGGCTTCCACCTTAACGCACCTATGTGCAGCTGCAGAGATGCTTCGCCGTGGATGGGAAGCTTCGTGCCGTCCACCATGGTTGCTGAAAATTGGGTCTCCTCCGCCTTCTCTCCAATTTTCTCCAATGCTCCGCGGTCACACACCGAGTGAGATGCACCGCTGTCCACCAGTGCCTGGAGGCATCGCCCATTGCATAACACCTCGAGGAGTAGTGGTTTCTGCTAGGCTGAGTAGCCAAAGAGAGTCTCATTAATAGGATCATAGGGTACATCAAGATGAATACCTTCCCTACTTCCTATACCCGACTCAGCACTTTCCAACTTCACCTGGGGGTTATGAGGATTTTTCCGAGGCTTGTATAATTTCTCCTGAGCCTGGATGTCTCCTGAGCCTGGATGTCTCCTCTAAGCCTTTGCAGCTGTGTAGGCTTCACCTGTGGGCAACGGGGAGCCTTAACACTATGCTGCGGGGAGAGAATATTAACTCCACGGAACGCACGACCCTTTTCTACGCTCCGTAGTACTTTGCCCAACTTCTCAGGTACCTGAATAATTTCTAAAGGCTTTTTCTTGGCCTCTAACTCTCCCCTGAATTTTTCAAAGGAGAAGCAGTATTTTAAAACCACGAGAAGCAATATTCTAAAACCACGAGAAGCAATATTTTAAAACCACGAGAAGCAATATTTTTCGTTAGAGTATCTTTATAGGATACTTTTAACGCTTTCTTACTTTCGTGGGGGTCCGGCTGGAGTTTCCCGGTCGGTGCAGAGTCTTTTTTCGCGGAGCCTCCTTTTGCCTCGCCGAATTCCCCTGACGCCGGCCGGTCGTGACGTTTTATTTTCACGCCATCATTTTCTCCTTTTTTCACCCGCTCCGAAGTCGCCACGTCGTCGCATTTTTCCCCTTTTCGGATCTTTACGCGATCGCCAGGTCGATCCGCGGCTACTGGCGATTGCCGTTTTTTTACTTCGGGGGTGCTCCACTGTTACCGTCCCGGAGTGCCGCACGTGCTTTCTTCATTTTGTAGCACGACAAAATTTGATGCCCTGCTGCGCCGCAAAATTCGCATTTCTTCGCGTCAAATTTGTCGATATCCATCGGTTCGGCGAACGTGGGGGGTGCCGATCGCTCCGTGCCGAATGTACGGTTCGGCGCGAAACGTCGTGTTTCGGGTTGACCTCGAGTCAGCGCATCGTATTGCTCGGCAGCACGCACGATGTCCCTGTAGCTGTTGTAATTCGCCGCGATCACCTGCCGCCGAATCTCTAATTTTAACCCTTCTGTGTACGCCTGGATTTTTTCGCCTTCGGTCAGGTCGGTGATGCGGTTGAACAGTAACTCCATCTGCTGCGTGTACTGTGCTACACTACTGTACTGCTTGTGTCGGTGTATCTGCTGCCGCGCCATGTAGGTCGTATTAATAGGTTTGAAACGCTCGATTAAATCTGCCCGAAACTGCGCCCACGTTTTCTCCCCGCGGGCCACGTCGGTGTTGTAAATCCACTCGAGTGCCGGTCCACGTAACAGTGTCGCTGCGAGCCGAATTCTTGCTGCGTCATATGTCGGGGTCGAACAGCCAATGGCCTCGAAGTAAATTTCGAGGGTGGCCACGAATCGCCGGACGTCGGATCCCTTCGCGCTTGGATCGAACGCCTCCGGGAGCCTCGGTCGTGCTGCTTCGAGGTTCGGCGACAGTGGTGCCATCGGTCCGTGAAATGTCGGTGTCGCCACTGCTGCTGGTGTTGTCGGTGCTGCATTCGCTGCTGTCGCTGCTGCTGCGGTGGCGAAGCCTGGTTGGTTTGTCAGAAGGGCTTCGAGTCGACGAAGCGTCGCCTGCGTCTGCTCCATGTCGGTGCGGAGGCTCGCGATGTCGCTCGTGGTCGCGTAATTGTCGCCTTGGCCCTCCATGCCTGACATCAACGCATCCGAAAAAACTGAATCGAGGGGGAGCGAAAAACACGGAACCGGTTTTACGTACCCGAAATCGATGTTTAACTGCGTCGCCCCCGCGGATTTTTTAAGAGTGGTTTTTAGCGGTCGAAAAAAGTTCGCGTGTAAACGGGCTCTGATACCAAGTGTGAGGATCTAGGATCGAGCTCAGAAAAGAGAGTTTGAATTGAATGATCACCTGGGTACAACACGAGGCTATATATAGGCTCAACACAAGGGGCAGTAACCAGGTGTTACGCGAAGGTTCCTCGGGTCGCGAAGCGTCCCGAACAGACCCTTCCCGAATTCGGTAGAAGGCAATTCGGTGGCAACCGAATAGCCTAGAATTCGGTGTACGTAACCTAGCTCGGTGCTATAACTATAATAAAATATAGGAAAGCACCTAGCCTAGGAATTCAAGCAATTCATGCATGCATAAAATAAACCTAAGCTAGTAATAGCGTAATGAGATAAAAGCAAGCATGAATAACAAGCATAAGCCATCGTACTCTCACAAGTAGCTCCAGAAACGCCAGCTCCAGCGCCTCTAGCAGCTCCAGAACCTCCAGAACTAGCACCTCCAACTCCAGCAGTACCGCCAGTCCTGGCAGCTCCAGTACCCCCGGTACGAGCACGTCCAGAACCAGAAACACCAGTGCTCCCAGCGTCTCCACGACCACTAGCTCCAGCAGCTCCAGTAGCAGACTCAGCACCCCCAGGCTCCGCACCCCCAGACGCAGGACCCCGAGCAACACCGCCCCCAGCAGTACCAGAGGCAACCGGAACCGGCCGCAGAGGCGACGAAGACGGGGAGGTGGAAAACCCGGAGGGGTCGCCAAGCGTGGTGAGTGGCTGGGGGGCACCGCGAGGCCTCCAACTCCAGGGTTGACAGCACTAGCTCCAGGGCCTCCAGCCCCAGTACCTCCGGCAGCAGCACCCCCAGCAGCAGGACCGCCAGCCCCAGCAGCACGACCTGGAGGAACGCCAGCTGACTCAGCACCCCCCGACCCGGCACCCTCCAGCTCAGCACCCTCAGGCTCCGCACTCGTAGGCTCAGCACCCCCAGGCTCCACACCTCCCAGCACCTCACGCACAGGCTCAGCACCCCCAGACGCAGCACCCCGAGTAGCACCACCCCCAGCAGCACCAGAGTCAACAGTAACCGGCTGCAGAGGCGGCGAAGAAGGTCGCGGCGGGAAACTCGGAGAGGTCTCCAAGCGTGGTGTGCGGCGGTAGGCCGCCGGGGCGTCAGCAGCAACGTCACCCCCCTCAGCTGGGCCAGAGGTGTCAGAGGTGACCTCCAAAGGCTCAACCAAGGGGGGTGGGTCTACCTGAGACACACCTGAAGGAGCAGGACCCTGAGGGGGGAGGGGGTCTACCGGAGGGGGACCTGGAGCGAGGAAAAGCGGCGGGGGAGGGAGAGGGGCAGTGCGGTAGGGGAAGAGACGGTAGAAAGGAACCGATCCGTCAAACGTGACGTCCTGAGAGGGGAAGACGCGGCGCGAGGTGGGGTGGTAAAACTGCCAGCCAGACGCGTCAGGGACAAAGCCAAGGAAGACACAGGGAATGGTGCGGGAGAAGAGCTTGTCCGCGGACGTATCGCGGACAAGGGCACGAGCACCCCAGACTCGGAAACGCGACGCATCGCCAACCTCTCCCGTCCAACGCAGTGTGGGCGAGGTGTCTGGCAAGGAGACACGTTGCTAGAGGTTGAGCTAATGCGCGGCGTACCGGACCGCAAATGGCCACAGAAAATGGGGAGCCGCCGCATGGATCAAGGAGGTACGAGCGATCTCCATGACCAAGCTAATGCGGCGCTCAGCAACCCCATGCCTGCGCTTATATCCGGGGTATTACGGTAATTAGATTAAATGGCAACACAATGAAAGGAACGCGATTGGATAGGGGATCAGCCTAGCAAGGCGGGAACCTCTGGGACACGAGGTTGGATGCAGGCTAGGCAAAGGGAAACCGAAGCCGACACGACGCGATATTGTTTCGGCATCAAGCAAACCAACTGAACGTGCACTTCCAAAAGTTGGAATTGTACGAGAAATATTAAATCCCAGCAAGAAAAAAGGGGTTTTTTTTTTTCCTTACAATGGACTTGAAATACAGCACAAGACGTTGAATATAACTCAATTGTCCAAGTAGCATTTTTGTAATATTTGAGTATATGCAAAACGTCCGTCACTATTTTATACGTACGGTGCTGCAAGATTTGGAGGTATGGAAAGCGGTCGACAAGGCAAGCCAGCGGGAACTAGGTTGGCGAAAACCAAGGGCACAAGCTGGCTCGGGAAGGTTACGGGAGCGGCTCGAGAGTGGTTTGGTTCAGACAAGCCAGGCCGAACCAGCCTCTCGAGGAGATCGGGAGGTACCCGACCGCCATGAAACGCACACAAGTGCGCGCGAAGCTGAATTCACCCGAGTGAACCGAAGTAACACACCAGCCCACTTTTCCCGCACCTTCATCTCTCCGCGGCGCACGGAGCGTGCATGCTGCCCTGGTGTCTGCTCGCCTCCCTCCCCGACGACCCCAAGGCCTTCCCTCTCTGCCTCTCCTCCACTCCACTCACCACCCTCACACCTGCGCACTACAAATCCCTTGCCTACGCTCATTCCTCTCATCGCTCTCCAGCTTCGCTCTCTCTTGTGACTAGCTCTCAGCCTTCCGTTGCCGTTTTCATTCAGCGTCAGCATGGCCTCAGTTTCCCGCACAGATTATCCGTCGTATGCTGCAGCGCTGAGCTTCTGGAAGAGTCTCGGCAGGGAGGACTCGACGGCATCACGCCGCGTTCAGCCGCTGGGCGAGTCGTCCAGCGGCGGATCGAACGACACGAGCCGTGCTTCCGCCGTCACGGCCCGCTACAGCACCAACAATGATACTAGCCATGACGCCGGCGCCGAATGCAACGACGCCTGCTCTCGCGACGACACAGCAGCAGCGCCAATGCTTCCAGTGCTTCCACCTATGACGTCGGATGTAACACCCAAGGCTATTATAGTAGAGATTACAAGGCTTTAATAATAATCCCGGTACAAGATGGTAGCTCTAGCTAAACCCTCCAAATAGCCTTGAAGGTGTGAGTCTTGTTCAAGCCTTTGATGGAAAGCACTTGAAGAAGTTGTGTAGAGAGTTGTGTGAGAGAGCTCTCAATGACTTAGGCAAAACAATCCCATTTCCATTTGGTTAGTTGGAGTGGGAGGTTGAGAATGAGCTTGCTAGCTTCAACCCCCCCTCAATACACGCTTTGGGGGACTTTCCAAACCATGGAGTCCATGGTGGGATGGTCCCTAGGCTAGAAGTCTATGTGGCAAATAGGTTGGGTTGGAAAACCCAACTTTGCACCATTGTATGGTTGCATTTTAGATTGAGTAGATTGTAATATTGATCTGGCAGTTTCTGATTGGTTGGAATTCCAACCTTTGGATTTCCACTTTGATGGGTTGGAGTTTCCCAATCCTCTTGGTTGAGGTTTGGAAATCCCAATCCACATTTCCCTTCCAACCCAACCTTTCTTCTCCAATCCAACCTTCACTCATTCGTAGCACAATTTCTATCGAGAACAATCTCGACGAATGCTTTGACTGTTAGTCAGCTTGGGAGTTAAGTGAGAAGTAGGATGCGTTACATCGGATCAAGCGCCAACACAAGATCCGGTTTCAAGGTCACATCAAGTGACGCTTAAAGCGGCCGATTGTGCCGAATCGCAAACTGCAGCTGCAACGTCGGATTCTGCAGCATCGCGACGTGCAGCATCAGAATCTGCCGAGTCGGACTCTCCAGCATCGGAGCCTGCAGCATCGGCGCATTCTGCAGCTTCGGCGCATTCTGCAGCTTCGGCGCATTCTGCAGCTTCGGCGCATTCTGCAGCTTCGGCGCATTCTGCAGCTTCGGCGCATTCTGCAGCTTCGGCGCATTCTGCAGCTTCGGCGCATTCTGCAGCTTCGGCGCATTCTGCAGCTTCGGCGCATTCTGCAGCTTCGGCGCATTCTGCAGCATCGGCGCATTCTGCAACTTCGGCGCATTCTGCAGCATCGGCGCATTCTGCAGCTTCGGCGCATTCTGCAGCTTCGGCGCATTCTGCAGCTTCTGCGCATTCTGCATCTTCGGCGCATTCTGCAGCTTGGGCGCATTGTGCAGCGTCGGCGGAATGCGCAGCGTCGGCGGAATGTGCAGCGTCGGCGGAATGTGCAGCGTCGGCGGAATGTGCAGCGTCGGCGGAATGTGCAGCGTCGGCGGAATGTGCAGCGCATTCCCGCGCGTCAACGACGTCAGCAGGTCGCAGCAAGGCAGCACATACTGTACCGCCGACGCGCATCCCAAAACCGAGCAACAAGAGAGTGAATGTGAGGCGCGTGGAGGGAGCGACTCTGATTCCCCGGCCTAGCTGTGCTGCACCACACAGGGAGGTGCGGAGAGTGCAACTTGCCCTCTGTGACTGCCTCTAGCTTTGCTCATAAAATGTGAACTACTATTATGACTGCTTGTTGTGCTGATTACACCCCACTTTGGCTATGGGGGTGTGTCAGAATGTTGTATTTGTCTAGCCTGCAGTGGGGTACTCTATAGCGAGTACAGCCCATTTTAGGGTTTCGGCATCAAGCAAACCAACTGAACGTGCACTTCCAAAAGTTGGAATTGTACGAGAAATATTAAATCCCAGCAAGAAAAAAGGGGTTTTTTTTTTTCCTTACAATGGACTTGAAATACAGCACAAGACGTTGAATATAACTCAATTGTCCAAGTAGCATTTTTGTAATATTTGAGTATATGCAAAACGTCCGTCACTATTTTATACGTACGGTGCTGCAAGATTTGGAGGTATGGAAAGCGGTCGACAAGGCAAGCCAGCGGGAACTAGGTTGGCGAAAACCAAGGGCACAAGCTGGCTCGGGAAGGTTACGGGAGCGGCTCGAGAGTGGTTTGGTTCAGACAAGCCAGGCCGAACCAGCCTCTCGAGGAGATCGGGAGGTACCCGACCGCCATGAAACGCACACAAGTGCGCGCGAAGCTGAATTCACCCGAGTGAACCGAAGTAACACACCAGCCCACTTTTCCCGCACCTTCATCTCTCCGCGGCGCACGGAGCGTGCATGCTGCCCTGGTGTCTGCTCGCCTCCCTCCCCGACGACCCCAAGGCCTTCCCTCTCTGCCTCTCCTCCACTCCACTCACCACCCTCACACCTGCGCACTACAAATCCCTTGCCTACGCTCATTCCTCTCATCGCTCTCCAGCTTCGCTCTCTCTTGTGACTAGCTCTCAGCCTTCCGTTGCCGTTTTCATTCAGCGTCAGCATGGCCTCAGTTTCCCGCACAGATTATCCGTCGTATGCTGCAGCGCTGAGCTTCTGGAAGAGTCTCGGCAGGGAGGACTCGACGGCATCACGCCGCGTTCAGCCGCTGGGCGAGTCGTCCAGCGGCGGATCAAACGACACGAGCCGTGCTTCCGCCGTCACGGCCCGCTGCAGCACCAACAATGATACTAGCCATGACGCCGGCGCCGAATGCAACGACGCCTGCTCTCGCGACGACACAGCAGCAGCGCCAATGCTTCCAGTGCTTCCACCTATGACGTCGGATGTAACACCCAAGGCTATTATAGTAGAGATTACAAGGCTTTAATAATAATCCCGGTACAAGATGGTGTTGGTGTAAGGGCCTAATAAACTCAAGCTATTAGGACTTAATCAAACTTAAAACCTCTCCTCGGGGTCACCTCCAAGGGTCCCTGGGTGCCTGGTACAAGACCAGCCCCTATCCTCGGGTCCGAGTTTGTAGAGAGAGGGATCAAGAAGGACTTAGTCAAAACAGCAAGAGTACCTTGAACGTCGCGCAGCGTGCCGTGCAGACCGTCGGTCGGATTAAGCTGAGAATTCGCTATATCGAAGCTCGCTCCAAGAGCTTTAAAATGAGCCAAGTTGCCTCGCGAAAAGTTCTGCCATTACGAAGTTATGGCTCAGACGGTGTTTGCCTAGCATTAGAGTGCTAGCGTACTAGCGTTGACTCGGGTAGCATTCCGCCGTCGAATAGCGCAGAAACGAAATTCCAGCGAGGAAGGAATTCGCTTGAATCAATTTGACTATATTCAGGTACAAACAGAGAAGGATTAAATAGTTCTAGCTAGCAAGGACCTTGGGAATCAACCTGGGAACAACCAGGGATGATCCCAAATAATTCCAAGCAACAGAACCAACCTGGCTGGACAAAATAGCAGGTGGTAGGTTGGTAAACAACCTCTGGTTCTGTTTTTCCAACCTGGGAAAACAACAACCAGGTTCAGGTTCCAAAAACAGAACCTGTTTTGTCTTTGCCCAACCAGCCAAATGCTGGTTCCGCTGGTTTCCCCTGGCCTTGTAGCATGCAGATACAGACAAACAACATCCAACCTTCACCTAAATTGTACCCCTATAGTGCCTTCCCTGCTACACTATAGTTAACCAAACAAAACAGTACAATTTCGAGTTGGATAGAACTGAATCTGCGCAATCAACTCAACCGAACTGCAAAGCTTCCATCTTGGGTTCCTTTGCGAGCTCGTCCTTTCTGCTTGCACTGTTCATAGCGCGTACAATGTTGTGCCGAAGCGCACATTGCGCGAGTACCTGCAAATGCATCAAGCGAAAATTGCGAAAGCAAACAAACACACGAACATTCCATTCACACCCAAATGCATTCGCACACGCATACTCGTACAAACAGACGGCAGGATGTCGTGCAATGTGCATTTGCACCCAACACACTCCCCCTCAGCCTGCCGGCTGCATCCCCGTCATTCCATGCTAGTTCATGCTCATTCCACTCATGCGCACACAACGCCAATGAGGCTCATCCGCAAGCCTCTTGGTGAGAAAGTCTGCTGGCTGCTGGTGAGTCTTGATGTAGATTGGATTCACCGTCCCCCTCTTCACCTCCTTACGCAGCCAGTGCCACTTGATACGCATGTGCTTGTTCAGCCCATGAAGCACAGCGTTTCTGGCCATCCCAAGAGCCCCCTTGCTATCACAAAACAGCGGCGTAGCAACTTTCTGCTCCTGGCCAATCTCCTCTAACAGCCTCCTCAGCCAAATCACCTCCTTCACCCCATGGAACATCGCCATGTACTCTGATTCTACGGAAGAGAGTGCCGTCTCCGTCTGCTTCTTGGACCTCCAACTAACAGGTCCTCCCCCAACTACGCAGATGTATCCTCCCACAGATGAGGAATCCTCCTTCTCAGAAGCCCATGTAGCATCGGTAAAGCAAGTGAGAAATAGCTTGCCTTCTCCAAGCCTCTCCCCCTTCTCTTTCAGCACCTCCACCCCTTTCTGCTTCACCTGTGCAGATGCGGAGTATTGAACTCCAATGCTTGGGTGAGAGTTCAGGTACTTCACCACACGCTCAGCTGCATCCACCTGCTCCTCTGATGGATTCTGCACCACCCTAGCCAGCTGCCCAACCGAGAAAGAGATGTCGGGCCTCGTGTGAACTGCTGCGTACAAGAGGCTGCCCACCAAGGACTGAAATTGCTGCTGCTCTTCAGCTTCAACCCCTTCATCCTCTGCAGCCTTCACAAGCTTGAATTCTGCTGGCAGGGGAGTTGCAACCTTGCGCTCATTCTCAATCCCATACTTCTCCCCCAGCTCCTTGATGAACTTCTCCTGGTGCAGCTTCAACCACCTGTGATCTGGATCCCTCTCCACGTGCATCCCGAGGTAGTACTTTACCTCCCCAAGGTTCTTGCACTTGAAGTTTTCCATCAGTTGCTGCTGCACTTTCTGGATCTCCTTCATGCTGCTGCTGAAGAGAAGAATGTCGTCCACATAGACCAGAAACAGCACCAGCTTCTCCCCCTCGCCCTTGAGAAAGAGGCTCTCATCACAGCTGCTGGTCCTGAATCCCATCTCCTCTAAAACAGCTGCCAACTTCTGGTACCAGCAGCGTGGCGCCTGCTTCAAGCCGTAGATGGACTTGTTGAGCTTGCACACCCTGCCCGTACCATCCTCATACCCAGGCGGCTGCGTCATGTACACATCCTCCTCTAAAATCCCATTCAGGAATGCCGTTGAAATATCTATCTGAATGATGAATTTCCCACTAACAGCTGCATCTGCCAACAAGACACGGAGGGTAGGGGGTTTGGCAGTGGGAGCAAAGATCTCGTTGAAGTCCTGCTTCTCCTTCTGCATAAACCCCTTCGCCACCAGCCTACTCTTGTAGATGGTGACCTGCCCCTTGTCATCGGTCTTGATCCTCAGCACCCACTTGCATTGTATCGCTTTCTTCCCATCAGGCAGCACCACCAGATCCCATGTCCTATTCTCCAGCAGACTCTGGTACTCAGCATCCCTAGAAGCCAGCCACTTGTCCCTATCTGGTCCAGCTAATGCCTCCTCCATGCTAGCTGGTTCCTCTGGTGCAGGGGCAAGAAAACAGTACGCAGGCTCATCCTCCTCATCCGGGTCATAGCCATGAGGTAGAATCAGCAATGCCTCTTCGGTCCCTAGCTGCTGCTCTGCTGCATCAGTTCCTGCAGTCAGCTTCTTAGTAGCCATACGGGTACGTCCTGGCCTGGAGACGGGTGTCTCCCATCCCTTCATAACGACACCCTTCGGCTTCTTAGTTTTTCCCTGCTGCTTCTCTCCTCCCTCGGGTCCAGCAGCTCCACTAGTGCTGCCGCCAGTTTCCACACCATTTTCTCCACCAGCAGATGCCTCCTGTACCTTCTCTCCATCACCATTTCCAGCAGCTGCCTCCTCTCCCTCCTCCCACACACTAGGAGTCAGGTCCAGCTGCATGGTGATCTGCTCCATCTGCTGGGACACCCTTGCCTCCGGCTGTTTCTCCCAGCTCCCATACATCATGCCCTCAATGAATTTCACATCCCTGCTGTCAAACAACACACCCTTGGATGGTTCCCACAGCAGCCATCCCTTGCTCTCAGCAGCCAGCCCCAAATGCACACACCAGATTGCACTCGCCCCCAACTTACTGCGGTAGGTCTTGGGGACGTGGGCGACTGCCATGCAACCGAACACCCTCAGCATGTCCACCGGCGGCTTCCTCCCAAGCCACCTCTCCAACGGCACCCACGAGTCATCCCCAACCTTGGTGAGCACCCTGTTCCTAGCGACAGTGGCGTGCCGGACAGCATGAGGCCACATAGAATTGCTCAGCCCAGATTCTATGAGCAGCGCCCTAGCTGTCTCCAGAATGGTCCGGTTTGCCCGTTCTGCTACACCATTGGACTGTGGGGTATAAGCCGTGGTCAGCTCTCTCTGGATGCCCTGCTTCTTGAGCCAGGCCGTCATTTCAGCTCCAAGGAACTCACCACCCCGGTCTGTCCTAATCCGCTTCACTACACACTCCGCCTGCTTCTCCACGAACGGCAGCCAATCGTCCCGTATCGTGGAGGCGGCGTGGTCCTTCTGCTTCAGCGGATACGCCCACATCAGCCTGCTCCAGTCATCCA